TTCCCACAAAATATAAACTCCCTACGAAAACAAAAAAGAATGTTATAAAAACAATTTTTATACTTACTACTGTATATATACATATATATATCTATGTATATAAATATATTTTAATCGAAAATCCCATTTGAGGTTTGAGAGGGTGTGGTAGAATTATCTTTACTTATATTATTGTATATAATATATACACATATAATTTATCCATTAAAATAACCAAAATATATACACACTCCACAATACGGAGTCCTTTCTATATACATATATATAAGTACATATGTATATAGTGTATATATACTTATTCAATTTTATGATTCATTTATACCTATATAGCATTCATCCAAAACTACATAACATATATATGTAGATATCTAAATTCTCATATTTAATCCTTAAAAAAAAATTTTATCCTTCCCCTAAAATATGTAAGTGATGTTTTACATACATACATATACATTATATAGGACACATAAAAAATAAATATAAAAAATGAATAAATATTTTTTCTTTTTCTTTTATCCGTATTTATATATATGTACTCGTATGTACAAAACATTCCAAGGTGAAATTAATTTTCCGCAAATTTTCTTTATAGAATAACAAAATAAGAAAATAAAAAATACCATTATAATAAAACGTTCAAAACATTAGATAAACATAAAATATCATAAAATCCAAAAGCTTCTATATATTCTACTTAAAAGTTAAAAATTATATCCGATCAGTGAGGTCAAACATTATTAGAAAATCGCAAAAAAATAAAAGAAATCATCCAAATTAAGCAAAAACGCGTTATCTACAGTAGCAAATACAAGAAATGTTCATAGTCTCTATAAAATATAAAAATACGAGTATGTATAGGAATATACAAACATTTATAATATGTGTATATGTACATGCATGAAAGGATATAAGTTTATTAAAGGACAATGTTCTACTCTATACTCTCTAGTATATTTTTCGATCAATTTTCTAAATAAAAAATATACTCCTATAATATAATAGCAATAATTCAATGGAACCATCACCATACCTAATATTATTATAATCATTACCATCATGAATTTTTATTTTATTATTATAAAATATAAAAGTGATTATATTGAATTTGTGTATACATACATATGTATGTATATATTTATATTGAAAATTTGCGCAAAAAGGAATTTTTATATAATTATCATTAAAGTTTTATCCATAAAAAGTATATTATTTGTGAATAAAATGAACAGGGTTTTCAATTGAATTCCTTTTTTATAATGTTATAAAATAGAAAAAAAAATTTGGGCAGTCATATCGCAGGTGTTAGGGTTATTTTTTTTTTGTGAACTGCAGTATTGTGCTAAATTAAAAATTTATTCATAATAGCTGACTGTTTTGTATAAAAACTTTCATGCAATCACAAATAAGACCACAAATCTATTACTATATATACATACATATGTAGAAGGTATAGAGAAAATAAACTGAAATAAATAAGTAATTCTAAGTTAATTTAATAACGATCACAAAAATAGAAGAAAACTAGCGAATTTTAAAACTTAAAAAATTAAATTTAATTTTTTTTTTTTTTTTCAAAATGAGCAGATTAATAATTGAAAAATTAAAAATGTTTAGTAACATCAAATTATCCATAATACCTACAAAATTACAATAATGGGAAATTAATAACAGTAATTCTAGTAATTTAAATTCGAACGGTGCAAATTCCGGAGAAATTTCACTCCACATCTCATTTTAGCTTTAACTTTAAAGCAACGTTCGTTCGCAGACTATAGAATTCGCAACTTCTGTTAATATCTAAGATAAATAATGACTATTCAATTGTCCTTAAATTATTCGAGTTGAACTATCGCTTTAGGATCTTTGTTGTATTGGCAACTGGCACTATCTAGTTGTAAAATGACAGTATTATCATGATAAATTTGTTCAACATACGAAAGTTTAACATTCGTTTAAGATATTTCGATGCTTTTATGCATTCATAATTCCGTCAATAAAACATAGCTACCATAGCTGGCAGAAACAAAATTTTAATACCATTACACTTGTAGCGAATTTTAAAGTTTGTGTCTCACAATCAGAATGATATGCATATACATTTTCTGTTTCCCCAATGATGACCTTTTATTAGTACATAAACATTTCATTTATCACTGTATATCCAACTAAAACTAAGTCTAAATTTGATGTATGTATGTATGAAGGATTGTTTGCCAGGTGGATTATAATAGTATTGGCTCATCATAGTGTACTTTCGAATTCCAAGTGACAATACTAATAAAAAAATCAATTAACATTATAAAAATATAATCACTTATATCACCTTAGACAGTGCGCTCATATTATGACAAGGAAATGTTGGCTTTTTATTTTAAAAATTCCTTATCACTTTCAAAACAAATTAAATAGAATAGAAAAAACATTTCTTTTTTTCCTCTATAGATAAAAAATTGATTTCTACTGATAAACTTTAATAAATTATTTTTATGTTTGTTTTTTAATAAAAATGAAAAGGTAAAAAAATTTCGTACATAAATTTCGCAAAAAAAAAAAAACAAAAACTCAATGATTTTTATTGATTTCTATTGCAATTTCTCCTTATATTTTTTGTTGTTATGTTATTGTACAATTTCTTAAATTGGATTACTTTTACAATCTGACTGACTGTACTGTTATACACAGACACAGAAATAGGAAATTCCAGAGAAAGTTTGTGCGTTTGGTCAATTTAATTTGATGATAGATAATTTTTTTTTTTTAATAGATTTTTATCGTTTCTTTATATAAAGTGTATTGATATTTTTAATTTATTTATTACAGATAGATTTTAGCACACCCACAAAACCTAATAAATAAATTAAATTTGGTATACATATAACGTTTAGACATGTGTATTTTATTCGATATTGTTTTATATTTCTGGGTACATATGTACAAAATATAGATAATTGATACCTAAACCATTAAAGCTATAAGTTTAAATGTATAAATTTGTAAAAAAAAACATTAATTGATTATAAATCGACCTACTTATACCATAGCAATACAGTGAATCTCCATAGACAATGTAGTATATAACAAATACATGTATGCAAGTTTTAAATGAAAATAATAACCAGCCACATGTGTCAAAAAATAAAATATTGAGATCAAGTTATCTTAAAACTATTTAAAATGTTTGGATTTAATTAAAATTTACGTTGGTCGTTGATCAAATGTATAACTGAAAATCATATATATATATATGTGTGTATATACATATGTATATATATATATGTTTGGGAATATTTTAAAAGTATGCTCTTATAAGACCGATAAGAAAAAATTTTCCAAATAAAACTTGTTCACCTCCTAAGCACCTTTTCAACCTGTCTGACATGACAATACTTGATGATCTCCTTAATGTTAGTTCTTTTTAAAATTTTTAAAAATATTCTTTTTGAAAACAAAAATCTTGTATCACAATTCTTGGCTTTCTTTTTCTATGTTATAAAGTCCCATTTATTCCAGATCTCCAGCTCACCTAGGACAAATTGCATATATAACTACGTGCAAATTAATAGAAGTACCCCAAATTTTTTCGAACAAAATTTTTTATAAAAACAAAAATGTACACTATACTAAACATGTGTGTTTTTAATTAAATTGAAATTTTTTTAATTCAAAATTTTTCACTATACTGCAATTACTTTATACGCTACGTATATCTGTTCATACACACACATACATATACATATATATATATATATATCTGTTTACATGAATTTAAACATGATCTGCAATCAAAATTACAGTCTTTTTATTAAGTTTACTCATTTGTAACTCGACTTTTTCATTCACTGATCGAAATTTTAAATTATAAACTGAACTCTAAACAAATGGAGGTTTATTCAATTTGTAATGGTGACCATAAGAAGTACTATAATCGAATATTAAATATATTAAGCGTATCGCAAATATTTTATATAAGATCTTTGTAAAATTAATATATACATATATATAATTTTATTTGTTTGAAAATTGGGGTTTTTATATTTCGCCTTTACTTCTGAAATCAATGTAGTATCATAATGAAGCTGGTACCTATGCAGTATCCCAATCCTATCACAAAGAAACGACACAATATTTATTGATTTATTGTTGTATTTCAAAAAAATCAAATTGCTTTGCCATTCCCAACCCCATGGGTTTCTTTGCATTGCTTTGCAAACTCCATGGGTTTCGGAACTTATCAAGTATGCATGGAACATGAAAATCTGAAGCAGAACAACAATATTATAGTGACAAATTATTATTTTTATTTAATTTTTATTTCTTTATATTTTTTGTTTTTAAACTTTTATTTTTTATTTTATTTATTTTTTTATTTTATTTTTTTTCGTTTATTTATGCTTTTTTGATTTTTTTTTATAGTTTTATGCCCAATTTGTATACAAATGATTAATTCTAAAATTCCAAAACGACCAAAAAGTATGGTTGAAATCAGGTTAGAAAAAAATAATTATTTCAACAACAAAAAAAAAGCAAGCAAATCAAAAGCACCAAAAATTGCTTTCTTCTTTAACGCACACAACAATAATTTTTTTTTAATAAAAAAAAAATTTATTGTTTTCTGGTCTTTTTTTTTTTTGGTTTTTCTTGAAAACACAACAAAAACGCATAATTAATCATCATGGTCATCATTTTATAAGTTTACATAACTACAAATTTATTTTTCATGAAATCATTAATAAAATCATTACCATCCCAAAACAAAAATTTTTTTCTTCCGAAAAGGATCAAGGATTTTTATTGTATTAACACAACTTTTGAATATTTTCTACAAAAAAAAAAAAACAAAATGGTGTTTTGTAATGCGTTGTATACAAATACAAAAATTTGCACTTGTTTTATCTATATACAAAAATTATTTTAATAAAAAAATATTTCTACAGTTCCTGTCCAAAATTTCATAAATTTAATTGTAATATTTTCATTCTTTTTCTTTAATTTACTTACAGGGGATATACCAATTCCAAATCATCATATGTATATAAATAATGGTTCAACTACTAGCTCATCAACAACAACTTCCAATAATCAACATCCATTACAACAAAGTCATTCACAAACAAATGAACAGCAAAACAGTAAAAATAGTGGTGGTCATAATCAGACAACACATAAAAAGAAAGGATTCTTTAAAAGTTTTTGGAAAAAATCTAAACATTATTCACTTGATCAACAATAAATTTTTTATACCATACATAATAAAATATAAGAATATCATATATAACTAAATAATATAATATAGTATTATGTCTATATATATATATATATATATACATGAAATACATACATAATTTATTTGAAAATAAGTGAGATAAAATTACAGAAGATTGAGAAATTTAAATTGCAATTTTAATTGAAAAAATAAATTTATTGATAAAATATGAAACTTCTGATATTTGTGTTTCATAATATCAAAATCGAAATTCTACAATATATACATATAAAGAAAATTACACTCATATTATATACATATATATTAATACATAATATACATACATATGTATATGTATATATATGCATTTGAATATTGTAAGTATTTATATAAAATATTAAAAATTACAAGTAAAACTTTTATGAAGAAAACAAAAAAAAAAAAAAACAAAAAGGAAAATTGATAATTTCAACGTACATACGATAGGATGTTTATATTACTTCTACTATGTAAGTTTATCTTAAATTTTACCTTTTAGATAAAATTTAAATTAATAAATTAAAATAATTAAAAATATTCAAATAATTTATACAGAAACAAAATGAAAAAGAAAAATTAAACAAAAATGGAAAAATTCCCACAATTTTTAGAATTCTAGAAAATATAATTGTCAGGCACATTTTAAGAAAAAAAAGACACACACACACTTTATTCGAAAATCAATTTTACAATATTTTTTCTTTATATGGCAAAAAAGACAGACAAACTATTAATGTTGTTTTCCATCAAAATAATGCCCTTTTTTTTCCGAAATTGCTCGCAAATAATTCTACTTTCCCTTATAATTCTCAAATTTGAGAAAGAAAAACGTTAATTTGTTATCACTCTTATGGTTTTCGTCTTATAACAAGCAACTTTAAATTTGATCGAAAGAAAATAGTTTTGCAAAATTATCAGATTTTTAAGATGCTGCATAGGAAATTTGTCAAAAATTTTTTTGAAAGCAGTTTATATTTTTTACACTGAAAGAAAAAGAAGCGTTTAATTATCGCAAATTTTGAAGCAAATTCAAGTTAAGTTAAACTTAGTTTTATATAATTTTGAATGATCATTTGTATTAAATAAAAAATATGTCAAATTGTGTATATATAATTATAATTTTTGCAAATATAATTTAATTTTATTGCAGGGTTAATCGAGAATTGCATATTTTATTTTTATTTCACTGTACTTATTAGTAAAACGTGTTACATAAACAAAAAATTTTAGTAATATTAAAATAATTATTGGAGAATATAATAAAACTCCGAATGAATTAATGAAAACGGAAACGAATAGTTGATAATTTCCAGCAAATGCGGCAAATTTTTCGAATTTTTTTTTTTGGAATTTTCAGCCCTAAGTTTTTTTTCTATTAAATTTATTTCAAATTTATATTAATAATAAAATATTTCTATATAAATATTTTGTTCTCAAAATATGCAATTATATTTTCAGTTTCAAATTAAGGTATTATTAAATTTTAATAAATAAAATAATGAACGAATGAAACGAAAAATTCGAAAACAGTTAATTTTTTTTCTCACATTACATCTTATACAAGTAGTAAAATAGATGTTTGATGAAGAAATCAAACTTAACTGAATGAATATATTTTTTTTAACTATATATACATATATGAAAATATAGTAGAAATAGGTCATAAAGTATAACGGTTATAACGAAAATCGATTATAACGTTTATTTTTTGTCTAGTCCGTTGAGTGTACGCTATAACCGATTTCTACTTTATTTGTAAAATGAATATCATCTTTTAATGCATAATTTTTCGGAAGGAAAAAAGAAATTGTGACGTTAAAATGAAAATTCAAATAAAAATGAATTGTATATGAAAATTGAAAAAGTGGCTTAAGTGCACTTTCATTGCAAATAAAATAGTGAAACATATGTGTACAAAATAATTCCAAAAACTAGTTAACTACATCCATAATACATCGAATGTATTTTTATTATGCTTTAAATAGTTTCTCACAATAAGTAAATATTATCAATTCTATCTTATTCAACTATTATCTACAAGTAGAAAATTGTGAATTCCTATCATTCATATTATCATTAGTAGGGAAATAAAATAGCTTGAATTTCCAAATTGAATTGGACCATTTTCGAAATAAATGATATGTATTTTCATTAAAATTGAAATTCACGGTATTTATACTTAATTTAATAATTCTTTTAAGTCTTTTCTCTTTACTAGTTATTTGCTTTCTTTTATTTAGACCTAATATCGAACAAATTAAAGCCTAAACATACTCGTAAAAAAATATATTTAAGAAAATCGCTAATGGGAAACTAATTTAGATATATCAATCACTTATTTAGTACTTTCTTATATTCTTGTACTTGTGATAGAAATAGCTAAACACAAAAATTGACAATTACTGTTGACATTAACTTGAAATTCGCACTCGAAAATTACATTATACAAATATATGATAGTAACGCACGTTCTTCTTACTTGGCGAGTATAATAGACGATCAGGCTCTTAATCTCTTCCAATTTTCCAACTACACTCACTTCCCTATCTCCTATTTTGCCTTGATTTTGCCTTGTATCCAATATCATACTTTAAACACATTAAACTATATCAATTATACCTTAATCTAACCCACATTTAACTGTATTAATTGTGGAAAACAACATTTTGTATGTATCGAAAATTTAATATTACATTCATATTATTATTTAAATTGAAAATTTTTTATAATAAAACACCGCTAAAAAATTTATAATTTAAATATTATATTCCTTTCAACAAAATTCAAATTCAAAAACAATTTCTTTCATTTCAAATACAACATATTGTTATTATAAACAATTGAAACGAATTGTATTCTTTAAATAATGACTGATGAAATTTAAAAAATTAAATTTAAAAAAAAAGAAAAAATAAAAGAGAAAATGCAAAATTATTGCTAAATTTAAAAACAAATGTGAAAAATTTAAATTTATACAAAACTACGCGTATTTCTTAAAGAAATAAATATGAAAAAAAAAAAATTATTAAAAAATTTTAGAAACAACATTTCTTTTATTGTTGTTCTTATTTTAATAAATATATGAAATTTAAATTAATATGAGGAAAACAAAAAAAAAATTTACTTAGGGCTTCTTTTTTAGCTAAAACAAAAAAAAAATTAAATTTAAAAATTGAATCGTGTCGATGTTTTTTAAACTAAAAATTATTATAAAAAATTATAAAATATTCCGAAATGAAAAAAAAAAACAATTATCAATTTAAAAACCATAGTGATACAAAAAAAAAAATAAACACAAAAAAAAAAATATAAAGTATCTAGAATTTTTAATCTAAAAAAAAAAACAAAAGTTCTTAAAAAAAATATTTTCAAATTTTCAATACAAAAGCACAAAAATTGTCTATTATTTTTTATATTTAAACTAAAACAGCCAAATTAAACAGACTGGTGGAAAAAAAGAATGCTAAAACGCTAAAAAAAAATTAAAAACTCAATTCAAATACCCTTGAGTTTGAAACTCAGTAGTATTGAGTTTGAAATGCAGTAGTATTGTATATATACAGTTATATTCTCAATTCAACATTTTTGTTGAATTTTAAAATCAACAATTATTATCTGTGTTGAGCGAGCAAATCATATTACTGCATTTTAGAACTTAAGATAATTATTCTTACATTTTGTTTGTTTAGAAATGCATAAAATATTAAGTATTCTTACATATTATTTTAACGTATTGAACCAATTTTGTTTAATTACACTAAAATATTTTATACAATATAATATATATAAATATACATTAAATATGTATGCAAAATTACATAATAATTGTTTTTAATATATGCTAGCAAAAAAAAAATTTGTTAAAATTGTTATTTTTTTCTTTATATAATACAAAAATTGTATTTATTTGTTAAATAACAAGAAAAATATGTTTTAAATAGCCTCCAAGACATAATGGAAACTGGAAAACACAAAGATAAAAATAAATGTTCAAATTTACAAAAATCTTTCCAGAACAATCAACGGCGTACATACTGAGGAATTCGTTTCAATTAAAATCAAGTTTTTCTGTCGTTTTGAAATTTAAAACATTATTAAATAGCCCCTTTTTACACTGACTCAAATTCGACTATAATTCTTGTCCGATTTAACTACTTGGTACATAATTTTGGTCTAGTATTTGAATGAATGCAAATCAACATGTCAACTTATTTTATAACATTATAAATAAAATAAATTGAATATCAATATGTATTTTCAAATTTGGTAAATTCGAACATGTAACACAATGAAACATTATTTTTCATCGAAATGAATCCTCTTCCAAAAATTTATGAGAAATTTGGTAAAATAAAAATTAAATGAAAATAATATTTTGCAAAAAATGTATAAATCGTAATATAGAAGAACAAAAAAGCAAACAAACAAATTCTAGTCTAAATTAATATAGTTGTAAATCCAAAATGGAAAAGAATGTTTTAATGTATATATAAAAATTAAATGTAGCTGCTTATACATAACAAATCTGTATGACCTACTGTTACTAGAACCTCACAAATTTATTGTTGAAAAATTAAATAATAGAACTGAATGTCAAAGTTTCAATTAGGTAGTTCTAGCTATATATTAAACATTACTTGCATACAACTTAATATACATACATTAGATAAATGTCGTTTTAGCACTAGCGAAAATAAATGGTCATTTTATATACATAATTAAAAACATAAACAAAAACAAAAAAGTAAAAATAGATGCTAGTGCGATTTGTGATAATGTTTAGATGCTTAACACATTTTTGTAGGGTTGGTAACCATTTACAAAACATATATTTATAAATACAATTAAAATCAGGCAAAAGTCTTTTTATTACTTTTTATTACTTTATATTAGGTTTTTATTTCCAAATACTTTATGCTCAAAATACAACACAAACAATATTCCCGGTGTAGTTTAATATTTCTTGACATAATATGTCATTTTAATATAAATACATACGTACATACATATGTATAATTTAATCAATGCAAATATTTTTGGAGAGCATATGACATTATACTGCTGTCTTTCACGTTTTAGTATAACTGTTCAATTAGAAAACAGAGAAAGAGAGTCTTACTCTTACTATACGTGAGGCAACAACTGTAATTTGTACAATACGCCATGCATAAACTATTACTCTGATATTTAATTTACATTTTTATTTAACAATTTAATTTATTTAAATTCTAATCATAAACATATAGAGGAG